GTATCAGTGAGGATCATATTCTAAACACAAATTTGAAGAGTCATATGCATGGTATCTTCTTTTTAGGGAGAATAATAAAAATGAGAGAGTAAGTATTGCAGTCCAGTCAACTAGAACAACAGAAAAAAAAAATCCACTATCCAATCATGGTACAGGCAAGAGAAAAAATTTAAAGATGCAAGGAGACTATGTATGATGGAAGTCAAATATACAGCAGGAAAATACCACAGCTAACTGTACTGTTTAGACTTGTACCATATGCCATTGATGTAAAGGCAAGTAGAAATGTAGAATAACATTTCACAATTCAAAAATTTGAGATTATGATTTAAATGAAATAATTTTAAATTTACAATTTATTTAGACTTGACCCTTTTAAAGGTTTCAAAAATATGAAAGCAAAGAAAATAGCTAAAAGTCAATGAGGTAAGTATCTGCCTCAATAAATTACATAATAAAAATAACACAAACTCAAAGACTATTGTCCAAAGAATACTGGGTTGTAGACTTAAAATTTCAAGATAGGTCGCATGTTGAATGTTCCTACTGGAACAAAATAAGTTTAAAAATAAATTCATAGCTGAAAACCTACTCTTGAAAATAAATATCCCAGTGTTGGGATTACAGGTGTGCACAACCACTCCTGGCTGTATGAATATCTTTGAACAAATCTAATAAAATCTGTACAAAACTCAGTTAGAGAAAACTATATTATTCACAGACATTGAACACTTTCTAAATAATGAAGAGTTTGTTGTGTTTATATACTGAGAAAACCAAACGTGGAATTTCCTCAGTCTGACATACAGTTTCAATATTCTCTCCCCCACTATCATTATCTATGTTTTACTGATGGTTTTATTATTTGCTCAAAATTGTAAAATATAGTAGAGTTCAGGAAAAGATAAGACACGTCTTAAGAAGACCACTGAAATTGGTGGACTTGCCTTGTGATATGAAACTTTACTTTAAATCTATAATAGTTAAGTTGATTTAGACTTTCAAAACAAAAGTCCTAAAAAGGTCCTTTATTATATGAATTTGAGATTTAATAAGCAATGGCAAGGTAGAAGAGGCAGAAGTGAGAGTCTTTTCAACAATGGTACTAAGTATTTGGATTTTAAAATGAAAGTGGGGGATTTGATCCCTACTTCAAACCATACCAGACAATATTTTCTAGTAATTATACATCTAAATATGAAATGGCAGGAGGCAAATTCCAGGAAAATATTATAGATGATATATTTGTGTTCTCATGGTAGGAAAAGATTCCTTAAATAGAGAAAAAAAATAGAATGAATTTAAGAATTTCTCATTACCACTAGAAAAAGAAAAACAAATAGAGAAAATATATTTTCAACACATAGAAGAGGGGCTGGGGATTTAGCTTAGCGGCACAGCGCCTGCCTGGCAAGCACAAGGTCGTGAGTTTGGTTCTCAGTACCGAAAAAAAAAAAAAAAAAAATCAACACATAGAAGAAAAATACTGTCTCCTGAGCATTTAATTCTTTCAAATAAATAAAGAGAGACATGCCAATCTTACATACAGAAAGACAGAAAACCCAGGAAAAAATGATCAGGTAATCTGAATAAACATTCCATAAAAAATGTAATTTGTCAATATCCATGTGGAAAAAATAGTAGGCTTCTAAATATAAGTGAAGCACATTCAATTCACCAAAATTTCATCATATACATTTTTCTAGAATTTAAAAACTGCTGAAAATTCAAATATAGCAAGAATTTGGAAAATAAAAACTCAACATAAGAAAGTGCTAATATAACTTTGACAAATTTCTTAGAAGTACCAACCAAAGCAGAACATAAGAATATTCTGTGCTAGCAATTTACAACCAGAGTTAGATGCCCAAGCAAAATATAAATTATCCAGTATCAAAAGTGTATACAATAATATTCCCTTCAGTGTAATTTATGAGGACCTCAAACTGGAGCTCACCCACTTTTAAATGATAATGATATTTAACTCTGTTCTTCTATAAAAGTAGTCTTCAACAAAGTACAAATAAATGATTGTGACTCTATCATACCAAAACATTATTTACAAAGCAAGAATGGATTCGAATTGCCCCAAAGTCAGTGGCTTCCTGATCTCTGGTATAAGGCAACAAATACACAAAAGGCAGTTAGGTGCAGCATCGTGTTTCCCAATACAGTGCTGAACAGAAGAACTCACACATTAAACATAAATTGTCATGCTAACAAATGAAACCAAAACTACTTGGTAAAAGCATTGATTTTTTATTTAATTTAGAGAATGAACTAAATAAGCTGGGAGCATCCTGTAGTGCTGGAAATTACAAGAATGCTCAAAATACACAACAATGGAGATGAATGTTAAAATGGCACAGAAGTTGATATGGTTGAGATCTGAAATGTCCCCCTAAAGTCTCACATTTTGAAAATGATTGAATCAGGAGGGCTCTGTATTTATCTGTGAATTCATTCATGGATGCGTTCAGTGGGTGACTCTGCTGTTGGAAAAGGGGACCTGGTTAGAGATGGATCACTGGGTTGTAGCCTGCAAGGTGGATTCTTGTAACCAGCTCCTCCATTTTTTTCCCTCTGCTTCCTGTCTGCCACTGGTTGTGCAGCTTTCCTGTTCCATGTCTCAGTGCCATGCCTTTTCTGTGTTGCAGCCAACCAAACATGAACTGACTCATCTCAAATATGAGCCAAAAGAAACCTCTCCTTTAAGTTGCAGGTGCTGGGCATTCTGCCCCAGGAGCAGAAAGGAAAGTGACTAATAAGTCAAATGGAAGAGCTCCAAGTGACCAAAGCTGGAAATGTTTAAGCAACAAAGCAAATAACACAGTATTGTATTATATCTCACAGAGTAAAATAATTCATGAGTCCATAATGACCTAAAGAAACGTATGAATAAATATAAAATGAAGGATAACAACCAAATCTCTCATGCAGAAAAATTGAAAATACTTTATGTGGATACTCTGTCATCCAGAGCTGCAGCACAGCTGTACTGCTACTCCTTAATTATAGACTGCACATGAATTCATTCCAAAAGCACATTATGGAAATGGGGTTGGTAAACAGAAGTAACTTCACATAGGAAAATCTTGGAAATTCCCATAGAGCTAGATTACCAAGACTAAAATTATCAGATATAAAAGATACTGATAATATGGACCCTGGAGATGGTGGGATGGTAATGGCACTTCTCTGTGGTTTCCTTTCAAAAGCCATTATCAAAATATAAGAAAAACATGTATTGGACAAACTGAGGGACATTCTGTAGCACAGATAGTTGTACTTCTCAAATCAGTCAAGGCGGGCAAAAATGAGGAAAGTCTGAGAAACGGTTACAACCCTAAGTAGACATGATTATTTAATGCAGTGTATATCTTATGTGGTATACGATGTCCACAGTAGAGAATACACAAAGAAACACGTTATGTCTTTGGGAATAACAAACTGTTGCTATAGCAGTATGTGCAATATATTAAACTATGGCATGTTTGAGATGATTGAGGCAAGAGGAAACATTTAAAAGCAACAAGAGCATAATTCATAGAAGCTACTTGGGTAGAAAATTCATTGATCAAGAAGACTGAAGTCAGGAGTTAGCATCAGCACAATGATGGAAGTCCAGTTGGTGAGCAAGAGTTCTGTCCAGATCTTGCACAAAATTGTCTTAATCTTCTTTGTTTTTTTTTTTTTTTTGTTTTGTTTTGTTTTGGTTTTTCTCCAGTACCAGGAACCGAACTCACGACCTTGTGCTTGCCAGGCAGGCGCTTTGCCGCTGAGCTAAATCCCCAGCCCCATCTTAATCTTAAAGAATGTGAAAGATAAACTATATCACCGATATCTGGGCTTGCAGGTGAGGTGTGCAAAAATTGAAGAGCAATGAATGACAGTAAAACTTGTGGGGACTGTGGAAAGTTCTTCAGAAAGGACTTGGGCAGGCATGCGTCCTGCTTCTTCATAATTTCCTGCTTTAATTTTTCTGGGTGTGAAAAGAATTATTCCATTTTAGTATCATTTAAAATCACATATGCTATTGAAATAGGGAACATCAGATAAAAACTAAGAATTTTACTAATAGTCATATATTAATATTCACTTATTAGTTGATATAAATACCTTATTTCACACAACGTATGATTTAAAAACATGAGAAATTGATATAGAGTACACAGAGTTATGTTATTTTTTTCAGTGTTTTAGAACACCTTATTAAAGGTTAATAAAATGTGCAACAGATGCTTCTATTTATGTAAGAGTCAAAATAAGTAGTCAAAATCAGCCTATAGCTTTTAGATGTTACTTGCTTAAATGGTAACATATATAAAACATATGGAAGTTATTTTTCTTAAATCAGGTTATCAATTATGTTGGGGCAAATGAACAGAGATCAGTTAGAAGATGGTACAAAGTGGACTTTGAATGGTAGTTATGTTCTGTTCTTTAACTTGGGTGGTGGTAACAAAATATTTGTTTCCTAGTAAATCATTCAGCTGCATATTTTTGTATATTTTTGAACCTATCTTTTAAGTGTAGGCTGCATATAATGAAATATTCCTTGAAACATACAATATAGAAAAGTATTCTTTAACAAAGAAAAATACTAACCTTCCATAAGAGAAGCCTGACAAACACTCAAAAAGATTCACTTTGTCCAGGTGACCAAATCAAACATCCTCTGTTATAAGTCACGTTGAGAGTGTATGCATTTGTCTCCATGTCATATGAATAGCACTTTACCACTGTGGTTCTCTATTCCCAAATCCCAAACTCCCATGTAATTATGAGAAAACATCTAATAATCCAAACCTGAGGGACATTTTTAAAATACCTGACCAATATTTCAGTGTTGAAGCTTCGTATGTGTACATTTGTCTATTTATCTATCCACAAAGAAAAGTACCATTCCAAAGGAGTGAGAGAATTCCATCAAGAACTTTCCATGGGTATATCATGAGAACACTTAATTTATGTAGGGATTGCATCACAAACAGCAGAGAACTCTACAGGGAAGGGTGATTGAAGAAGTCACCCAAAGTAATTCTGTCTCCTGACTCATGAGAGCTAAAGGTGAGGGCTTGCTATAGAAAGGGCATTGGATACAATCATGTTTTTATAATGAATATTTGAATCACAAATACTTTTGCCAAAAAATGCCACTGGTACTTTTAGTGTTTTAATTAGTTATACCAGAAAAATGTTCTAGACATCTTTTAGCACATTTATGGAGCAAATGAATATGAAACAAACTAGCGGGTCACATGGAAATCGTGTAGAAGAATTTATTACCTGAAGCTTAAGTTACTCAGGAGCTATGCAGAGGACATGTGATGGATACAGTCTGATTTATATATCTGGAGTATTGAACAGAGGTCTTAAACTGTACAAGGTATGATAAAAGATAAAGTCAAAGCTTAAATTATAAAAATTTCTACATAAAAGACGTATTGCCAGGAATCCCCCTGGGAATACTCCCACTCATTTTAAACACTTTCTCTCATTCTTGCCACTGTTTGAAGCACTTCTGTAAGTGCTCTTTCTTTGAGTTGTGCTGCTATGGCTTCCTTAGTGTCCTGAATCCATTCACAACATTACCTTTCATGGTCTTGTTGATTTTAAGAAAGAACCAGAAGATGCAGGGTGTCGGATCTGGTGATCTAGACAGATGAGCATGTACAGTGCTGTTTTTAAGATTCTGCCTTTGTATTGTATGGCAGTCAGAAGCAACAGTTATAACTCACAAAGACATGAAAGAGGACTTCCACTACTGCTCAGAAAGTGGAAGAATGATAAGTGTTTTCCAAGTGAGATATAGGATTGCTGAATGAGATTAATGGCAATGTGTCTTTTACTGTAATCATTTTAATGTACTCATTTATTGCATATTGTGATTTCAACTTCTTTTATAAGTTTGAGTGATGCTGACACAAAGATATATTAAGCTATAAGCATGAATGAGATCACCCAGGAATTGAAAATAAAGAATGAAATGAAAAAAGGCTGAAAGTAAAGCTCAGAAGACATGCAAGCATTATTCAACAAAAGGGTGTAGAGTTGGAAAGTACAGAAAGAAGTATAATCACAGTAGAAATAAACCCAGAAGAGTTTGATGCTGTATCAACTAAACTCACATAGTTTATTTTGAGGAGAAAGACAAAATGCCAACTGTGAAGCCTGCTGTTCAGAGTTGTTTTAGGATGACAAGTGAAAAGTGACCAATAGATTCAGGAACTGAGGTCTTTTATGAGTGGGAACAGAGCATGTTTGATGTCCTTGTAGAGATGTGAACTAGATAACAAAAGTTTGAAAAGACAAGGAGAAAGCAGAGTATTGAGATCACCTAATCTACGTATTCAAGCCTTTTTAGTGAAGAGGCAGTTAGAAAGTGGCTAAACAGGAAGGAAATGATCTGAAATACATATCTAAATGCTTACATCATTTTAGTATAATGATATAGTAGAAGGGGCAAATGTGAAAAGAGGCCTGATAGAATGTGGGCAACCGAAGAATAAGTGCCCTGTATAAAGCATAATCCGGAGTCAGGGAAACTCCCTCTCTACTAGTCAGAGGAAAGTTCTTGGAGGCCTTAATGGTTTCTGTATTAAATAGGCTACAATGGGCTGGGGACATAGCTCAGTGGCACAGGTGCCTGCCTGGCAAGCTCAAGGTCCTGATTTTGATTCCTGGTACCCCCCATGCCGCCCAAAAATAAATAGGCTACAGTGTCTTGGTAGGAAGGACAAAGAGCATGTGAGAAGCCTGGTCACAGATGAGAAAAGGAACGAGTGACATTGTATTTTGCAAGTTGAAAGTAAACTTCTCGAGAGACACTGCTGACTACAATCCCTAACGCTTGTTTGCTGTGTGATATCATATATTTAAAGTGAAACCCATTCTGTGTCCTACATAAGTCTATTCTGTAAAGTTTATCAGTTCATGTGCAAGTGAAGAGGAAGCCTGTAGTTTGCTCCAAATAGATTACGGTTTTATGCCAGATGGAAATTTATGGATATTTTTAAGGGAGAGTTTAGCATGACAGAAAAAAAGCAGGGGAATGTATTGCTAGAGTAGAAGGACAGGCAGATTTTCTGGATTAGGGTTTAGTATTAAATATCTAAATAAAATATTTTCAGAAAATCTTCTTACTATCCTATACATAAACAAACAGGCTTACCAAACTGACTTATTCAAGACATTATGGAGAAAAATAATTGCTATTCAAATATTTCTCTTCACCTCTATTTAAATGAATGCCAACACACAATTTAAAAATTATTTGAACAGATGTATCCATATAATCCCACTGTAGATTCTCATCCTTTACAATGGGAATGGACATTCATAAATCGTGGCCAATAATGACTAAATTTTGACCAATAGAACATGAATGGGTGTAGGGTACTTAAGAGTGAAAGCAGAAATTGTTTGGGAAATTTTTCATAGAGAAAGTCAGTCAAAAAATATAATAAAAGTTATCACCAAGCACTTGGAAACATAAACGTTCCCATCATAGATCTAATTTTAAAGATTAGTCTTTGCTACTAGTTAGATCCGTATTAGAAAGTCATAATATTGCTGAAATTATGCTTGATTTGGAACAGCCCTCTTTAATTTGTTCATATTCTCTCAGCTTGGAGCATTGATCATGGTCTAATTGAGCTCCTTTTGCTTCCAATTGTGGGTTCCCATTCATTTTTTTTCCACAGGCAGCTTTCTGCCACATGCATAATTGTATCTGATTTCATGAATCTTAAATTCAGATTGTCCTGACTACATGAGATCCTTTGTTTTTCAGTTTGCTGAATATTCCCCATGAACCAAATTCTCTATAAATAATTAGTTTTTAGGGTATTGTTTTATGTATTAGAGTTAAATACATTGTCAGGTCTATTTACAATATTATTTTAAAGCTAGAAAAAGCATTCATCACAGAATCTGCTTTCCTGTAGGAAGACATCTTAACATTTCTAGTAGTATTAATTACAATGGTATCAGAGAGGGAGTATTTAGAGAAGACATGAGAAGGACAATTTTTAATAGTCCTCTGGATTAAGCCTGTAGCTGGCTGCTTCCATTGTCATAAAACCAATCACATGCCACCTATTCAGAGAAGGAATATCCAGGCATATGGATTTGGTACACATGTCATCATATGAAAGTACTGTCAAAATGCAAGATGAGAATTACAAGAAAAAATGCACCAAAATAATTTCAAAAAAACCAGTTATCTCTCCCCAGATCCTAGGCAGTCACTGTCGAACTTCCTGGCAGCATCAAGCAGCAGGAGCCAGCTAATGAGGCAAGTCATCCGTTATCATTGCAGTGCTTAGCCTGATTTAGTTATCCGAATCAAAATGACAGATTCAGGAGGAAGGCTCCTGGGAACTTGACTGAAAATGTTATGTTGATGTAACCATGCATTGATCAGTCCAGTGGAGTGCTTCTTAGTCTCCATGCCAACAATAAAAAGAAACAAAAAATACTGGGTTAAAGGGCATGCTTTAGGAAAGCGGATATTGGACGAGGTATTTTCTTTAAAAACAGCCTGAGTTAAACATTGAAATAAGCTCCATGCTCTGACCAACTCAGGGCTTTTCAACACATAAGAGGTTTTATAAAGTAATTTCAGCTTGTCAGGAACAATTTTCCTCTTTCCCTTTAGGATTACTTATAACTTTAGCTTTTGCAACTATAACCCATGTTATTGGCAGCCTATTAACTTTATTCCAGTGTGAAAACTGAAGGCATTAACTCTTTCAGTCCACTCCTAATCTTCTACTGTTCCCCAAAGACAGTGGGAGACAACAGACTTTAAAGTGCATTTGACATGCTAGGCATGAATTGGAGAGGCTTGATAAAAGAGGTGCTAAAAATAGAAAAAAAAAAAGTATCCAAATTACCTGAGGGGAATACATGCTGTTGACAAATAGCTCTGTGTGTTAGCCCTGAGTTTGAGAAAGATTTCTGATCAGAGGACTAGACAGATTTTTCTTGTTATAAGAAAACTATCAGCATTCAGAAAATAGTGTTGAAGGCACATTAAAAGCCACATTTGATGAAGAAAGCCTACTCTTCCAAAGATGGAGGGGCTCACTGCCCAAATCTATTCTGTCAAAGATGACATCACTGAAGATGGTTTATAAAAGAAAGGGTTTTTGTTGTTTGTTTTGGATGTATGTACAGGATTTTTTTATTATAGAGCCTTAGAACAACAAAGCACAGAGAAACCCACATGTATTTTGCCATTTGATGTGTCTGGTTTATTTTATACTAAACAGTGCAGATGTATAAAATATCTCTAACTACTCCCCCGAACTGATTTGAGTTGATTCGGGCATCACATTAGGATTTAATGATTTTCTAAACTGATCCAATTTAATGCTTTTTAAAAACTCCACTTTTTTTCGGTCTTTCAAGCACCCTCTCCACATCTCCAAAACAAAGTACCCAGCTGTATAAATGAATGAAATAAGGGCCTGCAGTAAGCCAAAATCCTAATTTTAACCACATGCTGGAAAGTAAGAGAATTTATCTGTTTCATCCAAGTTCTTTTTCTTTTTCTCTTTTAAATGAGTACTCTGCTTTGTTGGCGATTTTTCTTGGGAACATAATTCAGTATTTAATTTCAGCTACATGTATATAAAATAGTAAACAGGTTATAGGAATTCATCTATTATCACATCTTTCCTGGGTACCCTCCACTTCAGATACTGAGGGGCTCTGGCTTTCTCAAACTAGCCATAATGCAAGGATCTCAGCCCTTCTCTGAAAATCCCTACAAATATTCCAACTTCTGGGCACATATCAGTGCAGCGAGTGTTCTGTTCAAAAGTAGACATGGGTCCAGATAGCCTGGTAAGTTCCACTGCTTCATGTCCTCCTCTAAGCACGAGCATTCTTGTGGTGGTTTGCACTGAATTCTGAAACACCATTCCTAGCGGCCAACAGCACACACACACATGATAAGATAGAGCTGTGTGTCCTTTCCTAGGCATGCCTCTCTCTCTTTTTCTCTTGTCTCTGTTTCTCTGTGTCTTTTCCTTCTAGTCTACCTTGCCTTGTTTTGTTCTTTCCATCCTTTCCTTTCCTTTCCTT